TTTGGAAAATAAGACCAGGCTATGTAGAATCTAACATTTGTTTCAGTTCAGCAAACATTTATTCAGTGTCTGGTGTGGCTGTCTGTGCTGTGTTGTACTGACTGCCGGAGCACACTTGAAAGCACAGCCCTGTTCTAAGGAGTTCACCTTCTGGTGGGTGGGGAGCATGCCGGGGAATATTTAACTTCCTCTTTAAGGAGAGAAGTGATGTAGTGAAAGTGGTATATTTAAGGTTTAATGTGATGGTGGTATAAGAAGTATACTGCGATTAGGGGAAAACTGGAGGTTGAGAGACTAGTTGGTAAAAGAGCTTGTACCTACCTGGGCATACCGACTTGTATTCAGACGGAAAACCACCCCCTCCCCAACAGACGTTATAGCGTGTGTTATCTGAAGGACATGCCACAGAGACGTGTTCTATGGTTTGCCGCTCATCACTGAAACAGAGTCATCAATACAAAATAATATATGTGCTCATGGTTGCCATTCATCTGTTCACTTAGTGATTCGACAAATATTTATTAAACACCTACTGTAAGCCTGGCATTTTTCCAGGGACTGGAAATACAATAATCAATAAAAGAGATAAAGTCCCTGCCTTCATGGAGCTTACACTCAAATTCAGTCAGTCAGACAACACTAAGTGACCTAATGTTTGACACTGTGCCTAGCACATTGCCTGTCACAGGGTTCAATAATTGTAGATTACTGTATTTGAACTTGAAATTTGAACTAAGACCTCCTCTTGGCAAGATATTTTGTTGGGGTACTCTTTTGCAGGATGGAGGGTCGGGGGGAGAGTAACTCATTTGCAGATTATTTTTTAAACTTTACGTGAAAAAATTGAGCCTCTTGTTCAGTCTCAGGGTGGTTAAGGTTATATGTTATATGAAATATAACCAATTGTCTGTTCTAGAACCGCTTTTGCCCTTAAAGATGAAGCGTTGAAGCGGATGCTGCTCTGTAACCAACAAAAGTGGTGTGCTCTTGTCCTGCTTGGATGGTTTTTGTGGGCTCCCTGAATTCCTGAAAAGACCCATTGTTGTCACTGATGATGCTTCACAGAAATCCTTTGTGTCATTATTTAGCGACTGACTGCTTTGGTGAAAGCTATGTCAATTCTTTTGTTAACTAACAGCCGTCAAAAATGATGTAAGGAAGAGAAGGATAAAAGAAACAAAGACGGACAAGTGCATGCATGCACACACAGACATCTTTTAGATCAATTTCTGAGTATTATCTGAAGTAGTATTTGTCACATAAAGCATGGGAAATAGCAATACTGCATTCATTTTCTCATTATTTCACTCAGACATGACCTGTTACCAGCAACATAGGAATGATTTTTTTCCTTGTTGACTTCCCTTCAGCCTTACTACTTAAATGGGAGGGCTAGCTTGATGGTTACACATATAAAGCAAAGCTAATCTTTTGTGCAAATTCTTTGCAAGAAGATTACATTTTCTTATCTATCTACTTTTCCTGAAAGGATAGGAATAGGATGATGAATGTATTTACTGTTGTTGTAAGAAGCCAAGATTTGATTTGACTTTCACTTAAAATAAACCCTTGCTTCTATAGAAACCTGAATTGGTTGGAGGTAGAGGAGTTAGGACCTTACATTTTGCCTCCAGATAAAATGCTTTGCATTAAATTTGTGATTAGAATTTCGGATTGAGCAGATGATGTCATTTCTGCAATGTGGTATGGTGTACATGTATGCTTTTTAAAAACAAGCACGGTAGATATGGAATTAGTTACGTGGACTTTTCTGGTCCCTTTTTAGATGTGAAGCCTTCCAATATGCTAGTAAACACAAGAGGACAAGTGAAGCTGTGTGATTTTGGAGTTAGCACTCAGGTAGGTCTTTTTCTTCCCAATGTGGTCTCCTCTCTGCACCAGCCACTTTTTATTTTCAGTCTACTCTCTGGATTGAAAAATCACCTAGCTACCAGACAAACAGAAACTCTGTATCTTTTCCTCGGCTGGGATTGTGTTATTCATTTTTAATCTCTGGGCGAGTTTCCTTCATCAGAATATGATTGTTCATTGTTTAATGACAGTAAAAACTGCTGATATTGTAATTACTACTTACGAATAGCAAACTTCATTGATATGCGGCTTTGATATGAAAGCGTTTTGGCCAGACAAAAGGGAGGGCAGAGTGGGAGCTGTGCCTGGGGAGCCCAACTGGCCCACAATAAAAATTAATATTGGGAGCAACAATGGTGGAGGGCCATTACAATGTGCAGCACAAATTTTAATTAATTTCCATTTTGGGCCTCCCCTGAGAACTCCAGTGATAGTGACCCATGAGCGTGCTGTGATGTTGATTTGAATTGCAGCCACCTTTACTCCCAGCCAAACACGAAGACCAAAGCAAAGGTCATCGTCGTATTATGAGTTGTCAAAGTCTGTTATCCCTCCAGCGTATTTAGTGTTCATTTCATTCTAGTAATGCGTGGGGCTTCATCCACATCTTGAGCCATCTGACTAAAAAATGAGTGTGTTCAAATTCTACTTCAAATTGACTTTTTATATCAGGCGGGTTTGGGGTACTAAAGCGATAAGCATCCTGCTTAAGTGAATTGTTTAAGGTTATCTGCTATAAACTGTAATGTTGTGCTTGTTTAAATTGGATATCACATTCAAAAGAAAAGAGAGATTTAATCATTTTTAATGCCTTTGTAGATAAATTTGCTCCCTTTTACATAATTTTTAGTTGATTTATAGGAATGATGATTGTAGGTTAAATGAGGAATAATTGCCCATTTTATTTCCACATTATCTTTATATTGTTCTAACAGACTGTTTTGTCTCATAGCTGGTGAATTCTATAGCCAAGACGTATGTTGGAACAAATGCTTATATGGCGGTAAGTAAACTTATGCAAAAATAACATTTAAAACCAACATCTTTATCTTTATGTACTTGGTAATGTATAATTCTTGAATTAATTCCACAGCTTTAGCCTAGAAGATATAAATTACAAAGTCAATCCAGCCATGATTTGATTTTTAAGTCTTTCTAAAAGACGTTAAGGTTTATATAGGAGCTATCAACTCATCTGACTTTGTTGACTTAACTGGTTGGTTCAAGTATAAAATTGCGGAGTTTTGAATTTTAATCCTACAGAAAAATTGCACCTTATAGCATACTGGCTGCTTTTCTACATTGCTTATTTAATTAACCCTAAAGTATGCCAAAATATCAGTCAATAAGATTGGTTATTTTTCCCAGGAATAGAAACATGTTTTGTCACCAGATCAAAATTAAATTATAGATATAGCCAAATTTTATTTATAGATCTCTGAATGTAAGGGCTTAGCAGGCAATTCCCTTAGAACTTGTACATCTATATTTTGTTTAGTTGTTGAATTCATGCCTGTTATAAGATAACTTACTTAGTTTCCCTGAAATAAATTTACCAAGAATAAAAATTAGAAGCGTAGAGTTGTTTCAAAGACCAATATGGACTTGGCTTTGACCTCTTTTTCTTAACTTTTGAGTAAGGGAAGTTATTTGTGTCCATAAAAATGCTTTAGTTTGTTGGTTTCCACAATCACTTTAAGAGTGGGAGGGAAGACCAGGTGAGGTGGCTCATGCCAATAATCCTAGTGCTTTGGGAGGCCAAGGCAGGGGGATTGCTTGAGACCAGGAGTTCAAGACCAACCTGGGCAAGAGCCAAGATCCCCGTCTCTACAAAAAATAGAAAAATTAGCTGAGTGTGGTGGTGCATGCCTGTAGTCCCAGCTATTCGGGAGGCTGAGGCAGGAGAATCGTTTGATACCAGGAATTTGAGGTTGCAGTGAGCTATGATTGTGCCTCTGCATTCTAGTAGCTTGGGCAATGGTTGGGCAATGGAGTGAGACCGTGTCTCAAAAAAAAAAAAAAAAAAAAGAGGGAGACAGAGAAAGGGAAGGAGAAAGCCAAAACGGAAGCTTATCTGCTACCATTTTTGGAGCAAAGTTTTGTCTTTTTTTAACATCTTAGGGTTAATTTTATCCTGAGGGCTCTAGATCTATTAGGTAGTCCCTTTTACTTCTAATAGCCTTTGTTTATGTGTCATGAAATTAAACAACATTAGTATGAACAGAACTATGGATCTTAGTAATCTTTGTTCATGCATTATCTTGATTAAAAGATTTAAGGATAGAACCCTAAATCTTATTCTCAGAAAAATACAAAGCATTTTGTTTTCATTCAAATCCCAGAATAGTTAATTTTTGTCTTGCAGTATTTTTTTTAATTTATACTTTCTTATTCTTTTATTTTTTGAGGTAACGTGAGAAAAAGATCAACCTCTGAAGTCATCATATGTGTTGTTCGGGTTTTTTGGTGGGGTTTTTTTGTTTGTTTGTTTTTGAGACAGGGTCTTGCTCTGTTGCTTGGGCTAGAGTGCAATGGTGTCATCATAGTTCACTGCAACCTCAAACTCCTGGGCTCTACTTATTCTCCTGCCTCAACCTCCTGAGTAGCTAGGACTACAAGCACGCGCCACCATGCCTTGCTAATTTTTCTATTTTTTTGTAGAGACAGAATCTTGGTATGTTGCTCAGACTGTAGTTTTATACAATTTAATCTCCCTTCTTGCTCTATCTACCAGGTTAGATGAGAATTGTAAGCCACGATAGTTAACAATGCCTTGCTGAATGCTATAGTTTCAGTCTTAGAAAGAATATGAAACATGGTGATTTTTAAAAAACCCAAAAAAAACTATAAATGAAACAACTTCTCAACTACCCAGCAAGTTTTTATTAGCTTTAAATTGCTCTAATAATTAAATTGCATTATATTTGAATGTATAAATCCAGATTACAGTTGTCTTTCCCAGGTGCACATTAAAGAAATTACTTTTTTCCTTTTTGTTTATGGATGAATGTGATGTGTCCATCTGTTAATTGAAAATGTGAGGATTAAAATTATGAAACATTAGCTCAGATTGGCAAAGCTAAAATTGCTTTGCTTCTTGGGTGAGTGAATTCTAGTCATCAACTTTATGTTTCAAGCTATAAAAAGCATAAGATACCTAGGAAAGGAACAGTGATCCCCGGAGAGTGAGACCTTTGCTTAAAAGTCAGTAGGAGGCTCTCGTTGGCCAAGTACTTACCTAGATGGTACGAAATCAAATGTTGTGGGTGGGGAAAATGGAAATAGCCTGTATTATTCTAAGTATGGGTATTAGTCCCTGCCTTTTATTTGCTGACAGTCTCTGGAGGGAGAAGGGCTGGGCTTTTTTTTTTTCATAACCACAACTGGTCCTTGTTTTTAGCTGGTCTGTTCTATAATTTTGAGTTACACATGAGGATCTATGCCAACTGTCAGAACTATAGCTCTCAGGCCAAATTCAGCTTACTGCCTGTTTTTGTAAATAAAGTTTTATTGGAACTTGGTTGTGCCCATTTGTTTCTATTTTGTGCATGGCTGCTTTAGCACTATAGTGGCAGAATCGAGTAGTTGTGACTGTTGCAGCAGAGACCATATGGCCCACAAAGTGAAATGTATTTACTATCTGGCCCTTTACAGAGAAAGTTTGCCAGCCCGTGGTCTATGCCAGTGAAAACTGTATCTGAAATGGAGTACCTTCAATTAATCAAACAGTATTTACTGAGCACTTTCCATGCTGTTAGTCAGGTATAATGGAATTACTCTATAATCTAGATAAGACTGCGTGAAATAGGAAACATGACATCATATATAGCAGCATTATGTGTGACATAACAAAGATTGAATTTGGACTAAACATATATTTAGAAAATAGGAAGGCATACAGTGCAAAAATTTGATCGTTTAAACAGTATGTGAAAAGAGCACTTACAGAAGAGAGAGATCACTGTGGAGGGATAAGCAAAGGCTCAGAAATAGAAGGCGTGGGTGGGCATGGGGAGGTGGGGAAGAAGACAATAAATTATGGGAATACATAATTAGAGAGCATCTGATGTAATGCCCTCATTTTACATCTTCCCTCACTTTATACTTATACATACTTCTGTACACTGATAATAATATCAATAATAATAATAGCTAACAATTAGCACTATGTGCCAATCACTCTTCTAAACTCTTACATATATTAACTCTTTAAATCCTCACAACACTATGAAGTAGGCAATATATTACTCTCATTTTATAGGTGAGGAAACTGAGGCAAGAGAAGTTAAATGACCTACCTAAGTTCACACAGTTAATAAGTGGCAGAGTCAGGACTCAAACCTAAGTAATCTGCCTCCAGAGACTGAAGTCATTATTACTGTGCTTCTGTTTATATCCATATTATTTATGTGCCTTTCCTAATCTAGACTGTGAACTTCATAGGGGCAGGATTTATTCTGCTCATTCTGTATGTTCAGTCCCTCACACAGTGCCAAATAAATGAATTAGTTCATGAAAGCTGCATTTTGAAAGTGTCTTGTTCACTAATTAAAAGCAGAGCACTTAACTTTTTGTATTAAGAATCTTACTTGTATTGTAAGGTATAGAAGGCCCCAAATTACTCAAATACAGCCAGCTAGGCCACCCAAATATTGAAAAGAAAATAAAGCAGAAGAAAATAGCTCTGTATGTATAAACAATCTCACTTTATTCTCCTATAACCTGAAGTGTAAGATACAAGAAAAATAATTAGGAAAAAGACAGGAAGTCTTCTGTAACATCCTCAGTGATTAAAAATAAAACCAAAACCAAAACTGAGCCAAGCACAGGGGCTCACGCCTGTAATTCTAGCTCTTTGGGAGGCCAAGGCAGGAGGATCACTTGAGCCCAGGAGTTGGAGACCAGCCTGGGCAATAGCGAGATCCCTGTCTCTACCAAAAAATAAAAAAATTATCCAGGTGTGGTGGTGGATGTCTATAATCCCAGCTACTCGGGAGGCTGAGGCAGGAGGATTGCTTGAGCCAAGGAGTTTGAGGTCGCTGTGAGCTATGTTGACACCACTGCACTCCAGCCCTAGCAACAGAGCAAGACCCTGTCTTCAAAAAAAAACAAACAACTTATGGACACATTAACCAGTGGAACTTGTAGAAGACTTGTAAAGTCATCTTGACCCAACATCCATGTTGACCAAATGAGGACACCAAGACCTGGAAAGTGAGTGTCATAGGGCCAGATAATTAGGTTCAGTAGACACTTTCATCCAAAGCATGAAAGATTTTCAACTACATTTTAAAAGAATTTCATCCAGAAGGATTATGAAATGAAGGGTCCATAAGCTTGGGGCTTATATTAAATTAAACCATTTCTCAAAAGTTCTAATTACTAAAAATTTTATTCTGTTTTTAAGATAAAAGTCCCTAAAACTTTAACCAAGTATTCAGTCCTAGTGATTTATTATAGTTTTTAAAAATCACATATAAAACTTTGACATTATTATGAATAACTGAAGTTTTGAAATTAAAAAAAATCTTACTCAGATATTTATCCTTTGGGATCAGAAAGTCAATCTAAATGACTACTATTATTTCCAGAACGTTGTTTTCTGCCCAGACTATTCCAATCCTTGAAAGTTGTTTTTATCTGAAATAAAACCTGCATAGATTGCATGATCCAACTCGATTGGCTGTGCTCATGCAGTCGTAGTAAAGGTTGTGGTGATGATTGGAAGGAGGCTAACGTTTACTGAGTATTCCTGTGTGGCATGTACTGAATTTAATCTTCACACAACCCCACGAGGTATGTGTATTATTATTATTATTATTATCTTCATTTTAAAGATGAGGAAACCAAAGGAGAAATAACTTTAGCCCAGCGTCTCAGTGTTGGCACATTGTGAAAGGCAAGATTTAATTAGGACACCAGCTTCTAGTTTCTGCTAATAGCCCAAGCTAGGTTATTTGGATCACTTCTTCTGTTGAAAAATGCTAGTTAACAGCTTTTTTAAAACCATCTCAAATGCACTGAAGAACTAAAAAAGACAATAGGGAACTCCCAGGACAATTTTTGAATGAAATCCTTCAACAGAGAGGAAAGCGGAAGGAGCGCCATCGATGCTACTCCAGAGGGCATTTGCCCATGCCACACTCAGGCAGAGGGGCAAAGGTCAAGCCCCAGGGTCCACCTGAGGCAGAAGGTCTCAGAGGAGATCTTCCCCATTCCATGCTGGAAGCCGAAATGGCTCACCTCAGTGTGAGGGCAAAGTAGGATCTAAAAAGCTGCTCCTCCTTACCCAGTCCCAGGAAGCTGAAGAGGAGGCATTTTGGAAATAAGCAGAGGAGCAGGAGAAAAGGGAAAAGTGGGAAAAGTTGTGACCATAGACTAGCCCTGACATAGATTTGCTCCCTGTATATATGTATATATGACCTGAATTGGACAAGGCACTTCATGCTGAGGACTTGGTTTGAGGTGGGCATATCCACCTTAAGCCTCAAGAGAACCTCTCCAAAATTTTTCTTTCAAGAGGAATAACTAGCAAGCAGTCAAAGGGACAAAAGAAAACAAAGCAACATGAACATCCAGCAGCAAGAACAGGCAGCAGAAACAGTTGCCCACAGACTTAAGATCACAAATTTTAAAAGTGACATAGTAAATCTGAAAAATGTCAGACGAAACTTCTTATTAATAGATTAAAATTAGAAACTCACTGTATTTGATAGCATATTGGACACAGGAGAAGAGAGAATTAGAGAACAGGATGACAGATGTGAGTTGGAGCAATCTGACTCCAAAGCCCCATTGAACCAGTATGCTGTCCTACCAACACAGGGATCCTGCCAACTTAAAAAAAAAAATCCCCATCGCTTGTGATATGAATTATTGATTACATTCTAGCAGCTAGCCTAAAGTATTAGTATTTGTGCCTGCTTTGTTAATTTTCTGAGTAGCATAACTCTGAGCAGAAACTCCTTTTTCAGAAGAGAAAAGGGCGGTACCTTGATTTTTTTGCTAAGTATAAACCCTTGTATTGTAAACAGAGACAGTCCTGGGATTAGTTAACTAAATGTGGGTCCTGGTAAGTGCCTAGTAACAGAGGACAGCTGGAGGGAGTGCAGTGCGAGTGCCAGCTTGAAGCCACTGCCCTTTGAGATCCTCCATAAATTCTGCTTTTTAGATCATCACCGCTCTTTATCGTTCTTACTAAGAACAGGCCAGGGTTTTCTGTTTCTTTTTCTTTGCTCATCACTTAACGCCCAGTACAGAAGTGCTTTGGATGAGAGTCATGTTTTTCCTATTATTTAGCTTTCCACATTGGTGACAGCTGTCATGTGAGAAAGTAACCCCAGCTTTAGCTTTTTAACCGCAAAATGTCCATCACAGATCTTCTGTCAGCAGTGTGGTACCTGGTGGTTCGTTTTGTTCTGTTTCATTTTGTTTTTGAGGGGAGAGGACAGGATAGGCCACCTTGGCTTCAAGTGTGAGAACAGCTTTGAATTGTGTGGCCTCAGGCCATTAAATCCTGGCTCCGTAAATTCAGAATGTATTGGGGCTCATCTTTTGTCTAAGTCAGTTCCAGGGCCCTGGGAACACTTCCTAATCCCTATATACCTTAATTTGTTAGGATAGACCCATGGAGCTTGCTACCGAGCTTGCTACCTGCTTTCGCTGAGCATTTTCTCAAGCACTGCATTACAACAGTAATCTTGTTTTGTTAGCTTATTGCAAGAATAATTTCTCCAAAGAGAAGTTGTCAGGATCTCATCCTTAAGGAGTTCTCTTATTTGCCACTTAATATCTGTTAACATCATCACTTTTTCTATTTTTTTCTTTTTTTAATTTAACTTAATTCTTCTATGTTTTATTAGCAGCTTACAGTTTGCATTTGTATTGGTAGTTCAGTAGGCAAATGTAATGAATGTATTTAATCTCATCGTTGATTCTGCCAAAATATTTTGTACATGGCTTCCACTTTTGTTTGTATGTTTGTTTTTTCTATATTCTCAATGAAGTGCTATATATTGATACCCGTTAGCCAGTGGAATGAAGAAATGGAAAGAGGAAGGAAAAAAGGACAGGGAGTAAGGCAACATTTGGTTGTTTCTTTAACGATTCTAGAGGATTTTAGGTGTATGTGAATATATCCTAGTACCTGTTGAGCTAGCTAGCACTGGATAATGGAGTGTGGGTTATGATCCCAGCCCTGCTGTGATTAGCTCTGTGACCTTCAGTGGTCGTTCCACCTTGTGAGACCTCGGTTTCTCTTATTAATTTGTTCGTGTGTTCATTCCAAAGACTTCCGTCAAGTACCATACTGAATGCCATATCCTGGAGGGATAGATCAGGAAGCACCTGCTCTCTGTATGAAATTATTCCTGTTGCAGTACAGAGGGTGCATGTAGCAGCTTTCTAAACCAGGTATTTCCTACACATCTGGAGTGGAGGACTAAGATACCAAATGGACCTTTCAAACTGTTCCTTGGTTCATGTCAAAAGAAATCCTGATAAATGGAAGAAAATTTTGAATAGTAAGTGAATCTGGCTGAAGGAATTATAGATGTTCTCTGCACTAGTCTTTTTCTTTTAACTTTCCTGTAAGTTTGAAATTATTTCCAAATAAAAAGTTAAAAAATTAAACCCTAGTGTTCCAGACCCACCTATCAAAATACAAGTAAGTGATAATATTGTATAATATTGTTTGATTTCTCACTCCACAACTAAGACCACTGGATTTGGAGAGAGAAGACCTGGGTTTAATTCTTTTCTCATTCACTAGCTTAGGACCTTGCCTAAACTATTTCACTACTCTGAGCTTCTGTTTTCTTATCTATGAAAGAGAGATAATAAAGTCTTCCTCACCGAAGCTTTGTGAGGATTCAGTGAGATTTTATACACACACACACACACACACACACACACACACACACATAATTTCTATATATTACCTATATAATATACATACATACACATATACATACATGTAACATTGTTTTCCTGTCCATAAAATTCTGTGCAAATGTTGGTGGCTCCCCACCTTAGCTGAGCTCATGTTCAGTGTGTGTATTTGCTGGAGTAGTGTACATCAACTCACAAGCTCCATTCTGTTTTCTTACAGCCTGAAAGAATTTCAGGGGAGCAGTATGGAATCCATTCTGATGTCTGGAGCTTAGGAATCTCTTTCATGGAGGTATGTTGTTGTTTGCAGATAGACACTTCTGTGCATGCATGTCTGTACTTACTTGTTCAATCAGGAAGAATGAAGATTTTGAAAGTAAAATAAAATAAAACTTTAGTGTGTTATGTATACATACACACAGAGTTCAACTCTAAAGTCTTTATTTTTATATCCTTTATGGCTTGTGAACTGACTCTAGAGGTTATTCTAAAGTGCTGTTTCTCACAGATCACTTGTATAGGACTTACCTGGAGTGCTTGTTAAAAATACAGGTTCCCTAACCCCATCTAAGAGCAATTAAATCCCAATCTCTAAGATTCTGCATTCTTAACCTGTTCTCTGGGTGATCCTTATGCACACTAAATCTAGAGAGCCTGTGTTCTAAAAGAAGATTACAGAAAAATTCTTTACCTTGTTGGAATAACTTCCAAAGGTGATTTAAAAGGTATGGCCCTACTCATTTGGATGTATACATTCTATATGTTTGTTTAAAAAGAAAAAGCTACCTCATTCTAATATGTATGTGTTTGTGGGGTAAGGGGTGGTATGATATAAGGGAGGGGAAGAAGGGGAAGGGAATTTATGTATGTGACACAATTTTAATATCTTTATTCTTTATAGCTGTATTTAGAATGGACTTTTAGTGTGCTAAGTGTAGGCCCCACTAGAACTCTGTGCTAAGATTTCTATAAAATAACCATTGATCTATAAGGAAATGCATATGATTTACATCAGGAGGACATCTGGCTCAGGTTGAATTACTGTAGTATAGAACCCAGATACTCATCAGTGCTTCAAAAATTGATTCAGATAAAGGAGGACTTTTTAGAAAAGTATAAAGGACTCTTTAAATAAGATCATAGAGTTGCAATCACAATTTTATAACCTTTTTTTAGTCAGATACTTTTTCTGTGGATTTTTGTAATGCATGGATGCAATTGTATTTGTAAGGAAATATCTTCAGACTCAATTCACCTCCCTGGCAAAAAGAAAGCAAAAATAAAGTGGTCAATGTTCATTAAACCATATTCCTGTGCTTCCTCATAAAAGGGAATCTAAGAAGAAATACAATATGTATGCATCAGCTGAGAGGTTTTCCATTATAGTGGTTAGATCTCAGGACTGAGTCTCCCAACAGAATCCTGAAGGCCTGTTCTCCCTATTTCAAGGGAAACTAGTGCTTTTGAGCTGTGGGACTCAGGCTTTGCTGTCATATAATTTCCCTTTGCATATTTTAAATCATTGTCATTGATTTTATTTTATAGATGGCTGGATATAGTGTAGAACAATTGAGAAGTTATATGGTATAGAGATAAGAATCCTTGATTGAGAATAGAAGACCTACATTGCATTTCCAGGTTTGCTACTGGTTTTTTAGGTTACTCTGTGCAAGACCCTGTTCCTCACTGGGCCTCAGTTTCTTCATTTGTAAAGTAATGATCTCTCAGCCCCTTTCCAGACTAACATTCTGTGGCTCTGCTGCTGCTGATTTTGCTATTGTCTTTCCTTAATTTTTACACAACATCTCTAGAGTTTGTGACTAAAACAGTGATAAAATGGCATAAAATGCGGAGGCATAGCAATACTGTCAGAGAGCATAACTAATAGATTTAAGATTTAGAGCACATAAAATGTTCACCATCGGCCGAGTGCGGTGGCTCATGCCTGTAATCCTAGCACTCTGGAAGGCCGAGGCAGGCAGATTGTTTGAGCTTAGGAGTTCGAAACCAGCCTGAGCAAGAGCCAGACCCCGTCTCTACTAAAAATAGAAAGAAATTAATCGGACAACTAAAAATATATAGAAAAATTAGCCGGGCATGGTGGCGCATGCCTGTAGTCCCAGCTACTCGGGAGTCTGAGGCAGAAGGATCACTTGAGCCCAGGAATTTGAGGTTGCTGTGAGTTAGGCCGATGCCACGGCACTCTAGCCCGGGCAACAGAGTGAGACTCTGTCTCAGAAAAAAAAAAAAAAAAAATGTTCACCATCCATCCTTTCTGCATCCATGTGTTGAGCTCCTGCAATGCCTACCACATAGGTGCTGGGAATAGAGTAATGAAAGGACACTCAAGTCTTGGCTTTCATGAAGTTACATTTGGTGAGGGTTGGGGCATGAGGGGAAGGACAGAAAACAAAGGGATAACCAAATATGTAATTTGTCAGGTGGTGGTAAGTCCTGGAGGAAAAGAAAGCAGGCTAGTGCTCTCTGATAAAATACCATTTTAATGGAGGGAGCCGCCTGGTAGCAGCAAGTACAAACGCACTAAGATGGAGTGTGTTTGGCATATTTAAGGAAAGCAGAGAGACCAGTGTGACTCAAGTGGAGTTGGCAAGGGAACAATGGGAAAAAAATAAATTTAGAGAGGTAGCCAGGGGCCAGATCATATACAGTTTTGTGGGCCGTGCTAAGGACTTTAGATATTACTCTGAGAGTAAATGATCTGACTTACATTTCCAGAGGATCACTGAGTGCTCTGTGGAGCACGACTATAGAGGGGCAGGTGTGGAAACAGTGAGATCGGTTTAGGTAGATAGATGGGTGCCCAATAAATATAACATAGTTATGTTTATTTATGTTGCATGTTAAAATGTGTGTCTGCCAGTATTTTACTAGGTGCTGGAGATGCAAAGATTACTAAAAAGAGATTGATTCTTTGTAGTGTAAGGAGGGAGATTGCCATTGATGTATTTCAGATTTTGTTTATCATGTTCATTTATCCCAGAGGTAAACTATTGAATGGTCTCTGGGGGACTGAAGAAAACATACTCATTGAATTTGTAAGATTGAGGAAGATTAGGTCTAGGGAACTGTGTGGAAAAGTGTCAGCGTTGAGTGTGGGACACCCGAATGCCAACAGGAGTGTGTTGGCTCATGTGGTGAAGTGGTGGGCAGATGACCAGATGGTTGAGAGTGAGGACCAGGAAGGGCCAGGCCTTTTGATGCTCCCTGTGTTTTAAAATGGATGATAAGGAGCTGGGTGTTACGGCAGGAGGAGGAGATGTTGTTACAGGATGTAAAGTGGAACCTGATCATGGTCATCAGAAAGGGTTATTGAGCACCTCTTTGTACACGATGCTGAACTAAATGCCTTCAGAAGAACTATAGGATGGCAGCCCGTGCTTTCTAGGAGCTTATTACCCACCGGACAAGCAAGCGACAACATGTGACCCACCCAAGTGGTAAATCAGTAAGTCATTAGAGAATAGAATAAGGCCCCTGGCATGTGTTTTATACCTTATTCATTCGGGGTCCAAGGAAAAGAAAAACATGTGATAGGGAAGGGGAATAGGAGGTTTTGAGTCCATAGGTGAGAATTTGAAGGTGATTCAGTAATGAAGGTTACAAGAGAACCCCAGAGGTTTTTCCCCTGCCTTAGGGGACGATATAGTGAGAACATTACCGAAGGGCTTGGGAAATTAGTCCAAAAGAAGTACTCGAGGGTCAAGATTCTTCTTTGTTTTTACCACAGTACACTTGGAATAGATGTGTAAGTCCTGTTTAAAATCACTATAGAGAGAGAGAGGTATGAATTTCAATAGCATTTTTAAATCTGAGGGACAGACTGCATTCTGGAACATAGTCAATGCTTGCAAAGAATTGCTTCTCAGCCAGGAATGGGTGGCTCACACATATAATCCCACCACTTTGGGAGGCTGAGGCAGGAGGAACACTTGAGGCCAGGAGTCCAAGACCAGCCTGCGCAATGTAGCAAGACCCTGTCTCTACAAAAAATTTTAAAAATGGGGCAGGTGTGGTTGGTAGCATGTACCTGTAGTCCCAGCTACTCCATAGATTGAGGTGGGAGCATTGCTGGAACCCAGGAGTTCGAGGCTGCAATGAGCTATGATTGCACCACTGCACTATAGCCAGGACAACAGAGTGAGACCTTGTCTCAAAAAAAAAAAAAAAAAAAATTTTTTTTACTTCTCTTCTGTTTGTGCTCCCTTTTGAAAACAAGATTCTCTTTCTAGATGTAGGCTCCAAAGAGTAGAAACTTCCATTCATTCTATAATTCTTACTTAAGCACTTGCCTCACGCTAGGCCCTGGAGAGTGGGGTGCACAAAGCTGAGAAGAGCCCACCCCTGGTAGAGAAGAAAGACACCTGAAGCCCAGAATAGCGTGGTAAGTCTTCGGTAGAGATGTTTATGAAGAACTCCGAGCCACAAGGGGAAAGAGGGGTGGAGTTTCACAAAGGAGTTGACATTTGAGTGCAAAGGATTGTTTCTGAAGGGAGTTTGCCTCTAGGAGAAAGAGGGAAAAGATGGAGGGTCCCCTCCACATCCCCCAGCATACTCGAGAGTGGACCCTATGAACACTTACAGGGAGATCACATGTCAGCATACGCAAGGTCTCACCTAGTACAGTTTCACTGCCATTTGACACATACCTTCCTCAAAGTGTTTTGAGTCAACCAGTTTATTCCTCTAGGGTACCTGTGGTAAAGAAAAAATTGGATAAAAACGTAGGAAACTGAACAAAGGATTCCCTGAAATTACACAGGAATCAAGTAGAGACAAAATGGGAGCTGGAGTTTTCTGTCACTACTACCTCTCCCTAGCATCCCTTCCGCTAATTCCGTAAACTCTCATCTCTGAGGTTTGGTGATGCAAGAATCAGAAGATTGCCTTCGTTGTTTTAAACTCCTAAAATGACTTGCCTGCTTTCTTCCTACTGCCCCTTCCCTTGTTAATGTGCCGTCACAGTCCCCATGGGGAGTCATAACAAGGCCTCTCACCACCTCGTTCATAAAAGATGATGCCACATGCCCCTGAAATGTGCTGTTAAAAAAGAATCACAGACGGGTACATTTGTGCCTTAAGCAAAGAATCTTTAATATCAGACTATCTTTTATCCAGGAACAGAATTACTCCCATCTCCTTTCAGTTCACTATCCCTCTGTTGATGGGATAAAGGGGGTCTCTTGCAGGATTTTTTCAGCCGTATGTAGTATTTGTAGTTGGCAGATATATAACATAAAGGTGGAAATTATTCTTAAGAAGGGAAAAAATGAG